GGAGTGTCACCGATTTTGACCCTCGCAAATCTTTAGGAATCTTGCACAAACTACCTAAAAAGAATGGTTGTAAGCACAACATAAAACAATAACAAAAACAAAAAGATGTACAGCTGTCTGCGGGATGCATGGTTGAGATTGGGCGCGCATTGAAATGGATTGCATGTAAATGACATCTTGATTAATTGTTGGCAGACACTTTTTCAAGTTTAGGAGTGTCAATTTGTATGAAATCGTCGTCTTACATGTTGTGTGGAAGTTCATTGTTGTTTAATATGACTCATATGTTATAACTGAACCTATTTATGTTTATTTTCAAATTCGCAGGTCAGAGTTTGAATAAAAGACAGTTTTGGTAAAAAATTGGTGACACTGCCCTTTAAGATTAATATTTAGTGACCATATACCACACACGAGAATTATTACTATTAGAAGTGTTTATTATTATACTATATAATTTGTAATTTGTAGCGATTCTGAAACATGATTCGATAAATACTAAAACGTGTTGTGAATGAGGCCTTGTATAGCTTAGAGATCTTAGAGTAGTACTGTAGTAGTCTCCAAAGTTATCAATCTTGTCCCCCGTGCCTAAACGGTAATATGTTGTAATTGTGTCACTGTCAACTGTCTTCCAAGTTCAATGGTTATAATTATGCCGAAGACATTCAACGGCATAACTATCCAATTTGATGACATTCAATGTCATAACCAGCCAAGTTTAATGGTTATGCCGATCGAAGACATTCAACAGCATACTAACTATCCAAGTTGAATACATTCAACGCCATAACCATCCAAGTTGAATGGTTATGTCGAAGACACTCAACTGTCTTCGGCATAACCATCAACAGTCAACTATCTTCCAAGTTGAATGGTTACGCCAAATACATTCAACGGCATAACAGGGCCGTAGGAAGCTCTTTTCGATTGGGGGGGATGAAAGCGAGGGCCGAAGGCCCGAGGAAATTTTTAAATTTAGAGTCTCTAAAATACCATTTCCTGGACTTTGGGGGAAGATTTAACAGAATTCTGATAGTCAGAAAACAGCGTTTTAGTATGTCGAAATTTACAGGAAAGTATGGGCCAGACTGTAGTATTATAAATGCGCGGCCGGAATTTTCGTCGTAAATGGCAGTTGCGCGGAAATGAAGGCAGAACATTTGAGAAAACTTCGAAAATCTGGAGTCTCTAGATGGTCTGAAATGGCATTTTCAGAGTTTTCTTTCGCAAGACCCACCACGCAAAAGACAAAATAAATCATTAGTTCATCAAAAATGTGCAGATTTTGTGGGATTTTCTTGAAAATGCGCGGCAGAAATTCAGCTAAAATTTCTACGCGAGGAACGATCTGGAGTATGAGTAATATCTTCATTCTTTGCAGTTTGTCACAGATTAAATGATAAAGTTTGCATGATTTTGAAAAAGAATGATTATTAGCAAATTATTGGGGGGGCTGCAGCCCCCATTATTGCTACGGCACTGCACTCGGGCAATATTGAGTTATTATAAAAATAAATGGGACCATTTATCTAATTTTGCGGAAATTATGTCTATTCTGTGATGTTTGGGAAAATTTGTTTGATGTTCAAAAATGTTGGTATGTCTGAAAAATTTGTGACCCCTAAAATGGTACACTGACCGAAATTTTTTTGGCGCCGGGGGGGGGGGAGGTCGCCAAAATTAATTGTTCCGGAAAAAAAAATAAATTCGGCGCTGGTATGTGAGCTTCAGAAGAATGACTATTTGCCATGTTGGGAAGAAAACGAAGTTGTCCAAGAGGTGGCGGAAGAAATTGATGATAACGTACTACCTGACACTCACAATATTCGTGAGACATTGGCAAATTATTTCTCAGCATGATAACTCATGCGCTATCTGAAAAGCGTGTATACTTATAATACTGCATCATGTTAAAAAAACCACTTTATTACCAAAGGTATGTGATACGTAAAACAGATACAGTTCTATGCTGTAGACTATTCCACAGTTTAGCCCCTCTATAGATAGGACTTTTTAAAGATATTCAGTCTTAGGTTTGAGTGAGCAATGCATAACTATATATAAGTCACTGAATGATGTTCTTACCGCGTATTGATGTTTTTTAAACAAACAACGGCAAAGTGTTATCTATTTGTTTCTATAAATAATATTAATAAAGTGAAAAACGCTCAACAAGTTTGTACTAAAATTTCGCGACAACGTAGGGTATCGACAACGAGGGGCGACTATTTGCCATTGGACGGCGTGACCATGATTTATATACAAAACATCGCACGTCATTGACCGATGACGCTTCTGAGCGAGCTGTGATTGACGCAACAATATTACGTCAATGGCGTCATCCATCTATAGCCTCGAATGACCATTACTAAAACTGTCTTCAGATCATTACATACAAATTTAAAACAGTTGATAAAACTTTTCTATGCACCTTATTGTCGTTAATCCTCAGGTATGGATTTCGGTTAATGTCGTTATAGCATTGAAAGATGTTACCATCAGACTCATTTCAGTCAAAAAGTACTATATATCTACTATATTTCCACAATTTAACATTTTTGTGAACAAAATAAGAACAGTAAAATCTAACTCTTGAAACAGGGCGCTCATATATAGGGCGGTGCAACGCGCTGATGTCGCGCTGATCGATGAGTGATGCGGAAAAGGACTGGCACGAGCGTGCTTTTCGGCAAAAGTTGACAAGGAGCGTGATTTTTCCTGCTGTTGTATTTTCGCTGTTTTTTCATTAACTACGAAATTCTTGAGGATGTTTTTGCACTGTAACGACGAAGTAGTAACTAGTGTATCGTACGAATGCTTGTTTGGCCTGTATAGTTGAATTTTGAAAGAAATATTGAGGATAATGAATCGGGCTTTTGATAACTTCAATGAAGGGAAATTGTCAAAACAGCATTTGGGCATGTTATCAAGTCGTCCAAACTTCGAAATTCAGTTGATGGTAAAGATTGTAATTATGTGCTTATCTCCAAAAGTTTTCATAAGACTCGGAGTTGAGCAATTGAATATACAGCGTTGGAAAGTGAGGTATTTTTGTGTGTTAAATTTTGCCTCGTTAGACCATTATTTCGCTGCAAAAAAATAAACAACAATTGCATTTTGGCCATGTCATGATTTTTTGTTATTATGTTAACAATTTTCTACGACTTTTAAGGCATTCAATTGAAGTAATTCTGAGCCGTAAACATATTTTACTTCTTGGCCTTTGAATCAAAATACGACTCGCTAGGACGTTTGTTGAGCGCAATAGTCGAAAAAGTTTCGTCCCAACTTTGATCTTTTTTGACCGGCTGGCCATGACAACTTCTCGTAAGGATTCGTTAAAAAAATACAAATTCAAGTTGAGCATTTCTTGATTTTCAACTGAAAAGATCAACTAGTGGCTAAAATTAATTGTGAATTGTATTCTATCGAACGTGAACGATACGTGTACATCCGAAGAGTTTTAAAAACCTTTCACGTCATGCTTCTGGCGAAAACAACCGTTCGCAAGCTTTCGCAAGCGTTTTGAGCAAAAACTCTAAAATATTGGCAGTATTACCATAGGCTGCCCAAAAGTGCGTGTTGAAATTTTTACCCTCGCGCGTGGCGCTCGGGCATTCATCGAGTCTACTCAGTTTATTATTATGACAAGGTTGGCAAGAGTTTTAACGGAAATTTATTACAACGTTACTAGAGTATGAATATTTCGCAAATTACAAACAAAAACAACATAAAATCTACATCATTTCAAACACTGGTAATTTTACTACATTCTCTCAAAGTTTTAACTTCAAAAGTTCATTCTAAGGATGTTAAAAAAGCGAATTATTTTCGGGTTTTTTTCAAAATTTTGTCAAAACTATGCTGGGGTCACGTACCCTGTGGTGATGTCATATTTTTAAATCTTGAAGAAGCGTTGATTTGCTGTTGTACACGATTCCAGTACAACAGCAAATCAACGCTTCTTCAAGATTTAAAAACTTAACATCGGAATTTTGCTCCCAATATCTATTTCTTCATCAAAACTTGACTACAAAACCGTCAAAACTTCCAGTTCAGTTTTCCCGCCATATTTATCCTTGCCCCCACCCCAACCCCCACCCTAACCTCTAACCCCTAACCCTAATCTAATCTTAGTCTAACCCTAATTCAATCCAAATCCGGCGACCTTTTTTTTTCTTCTTAGGATCCCAACCCTTCGCGTCCAGCCTCCCTTAGTAAGGCCATTACTTTTATAGTAAGAAACCTTGCCTAATTAGTGTGGTATTATTAAATTAACTGAGGCTATGCCTTAATTTTGGAGAATTTCAAAATTAAGCCATATCCTTAATTTAACAATTAAGACATAGCCTTAATTTTGAGAAGAGATCATGTTGCGCCATAGTAACCACAACAAACTTGTTACCAGTTCATTGCATCACACATCGATCGGCGCGCCTATAGCCGTTTCACCGCCCTATATATAAGCGCCCTGTTTGAAATGTATAGTTGCCTTTTCTCTCTAGTACTGACATGCAGATAACTAATCAACAATCATGACGGTATTGAACCAAATTGTCTTAAATAACATATAATTTTAGAACTGAAAGAATGTCTTTTCTTCATCTGTAAATATGTCATGTTGTAGGACAGAGGGATAAGGGTTTACATGATAAACAGCATTGGTAGCATTCAAACTAGGGGCATGATGATGATTTATTTGACTTGCATTTCCCATTAACATACTCAGCATTTTCAGTTCGTGTTCCCTTTCTTCTTTTCTCCGTTGGGCTTCCACGTTTGCTTGTTCTCTTTGAAATTCGTGTAGATTTTTATTTTTGCTTGACCGCGTCGTGATTGGTTGGAAATAAATTATATTGCAGATTCGGATCAATATGTGTAACAGTTTGCGCATTGGCAAGCCGATCGTTGCTTCGAATTCCTGTAATTTTAGACACAACGAATCTCTACGACCATACGCCGTTTGTTGCATCATGCATGGTTCAACGCTTCCAGTTACAACCCGCTCTCCCATGAGGGCAACCCCCGGAAAAAATTTAAATGTGTGAATAGCGGCTGAGAATATAAATGTTCACACGCGAGGCCGAGGGCTTTGAGCCCTATGCCTCTAGCTCTTAGGTATTCGATAATACGCTTGTAGATCAGAGATGGCGCAAGAAAAATGCGTCCTGTCAGTGAACTCGAAGATTGACATTTGTAAAATTTCGATTTATAACATGTTTGTATGCAATAATGATTTGTGAATGTTGTCGCCGGTGTAGGGAATTGCCATTCTTTATTTTCCAGGGGGTGCGGAATTTACATTATGGAAATAAAATATTCGCAAATCCCGGGGGGATGATAACAGGGAGAATTGAGCCATGCAGGAACTTATCCCAATTACTACGCCTGGTCGTTATAATTTACGTACGTCTAACAATGGCCTTTTATTATCATATCCTCGGGGTAAATCAAGGAAACGCTTGGTGATCGGTCGTTCATGGTTTCTTCGTCAACATTATGGACATATTTTCTTATCAACATATTTTCTATTTAAAATATATTTATAATATTTAATGTTTTATAATAATGAACACTTCTAATTTATTCACTAATTTTGTAATTACAAGATAATGTAACTATGTACTATTTGCAGTAACATATAGTATATTGTTTACGAGGAACATATTTATCCATCCCATATTTTAATTTTCTTTCTTCTCTATAAAAGAACAAATAATCTGGAATGACTGATCAATAAGTCACAATTCTGTCATATTCCATTGCAAGGGCGTTGTAGAATATTTTTCAAACAAGTTCAAACGAAGTTTTTATATAAAATAAAGAAAAGTATCGAAATGATTAAAATTGGAATGATACTGAACTTTAAAAGGCAATACAATTTAAAAACACTCTGGTTAAAATTCCTGCAGGTTGAACGTTCTGGTTAACCAAGAACTAACAGAAGGATTCTTATGGATAGAAATTTCGAAATTTCAACCTGACATACAGTATAGACACTCTGGCAGGAATCGAACCTCTGCGATTTCGATTCATCTGCGATTCCAGAGGAACTATACAGGGTGTATAAAAAAACTGAACAGATTTGACTTGCTCTCAATTTCACAAAACAGCTCGGGGTATCACGCTTTTGTTATATAGAGATTCGTTGAGGACCCATAATGTAGAATAATGAAAAAAAATACTCGGACTCAAATTGTGCAAACTATGGGGGGGGGTGTCTTTTCCAAGAAACTAAAAATGGCTTGCGGATGAAATTTAAAAGCTTTAATCGTATTTTGAGTTAATGAATGGAAAATATGTTGGGGTTTTAATTACTGTACAAAATTTCAGACAATTTGCTTTAGTTTAAACTGTTCATTTTTTCCTAAACAAATCACCCCGCCCCCTGATTTACAAGAAATTTTTCATTATTCTACACTATAAGTACCCATATATATATATATATATATATATATATATATATATATATATATATATATATATATATATATATATATATATATATATATATATATATATATATATATCATGGTATTTTTTGTCAAGTGTTTGTTTCACTTACGACATATCACTGTTTAACTCAATTACCTCGTATTCCTTCCACTCGCGAGTTACTAAACTACTGTCACATATAGTTTAGCTGCAGGCCTTGTGACCCTGCATGGACGCTTAAAACGAAAGAATACACACACACAATAGTACTTGCCGTGCTATTCGAGCACTCTATGCCATTTTATTATAGTTGAAAACGGTTTGCACCAGTTACTCGCATCCGGTCAATCCCCACAAGATGGGTTCATCCCGGGCAAGCTTTGTAACAGATTCTATAACCTGAAGGAAACAGGACAAATGCGGCACTTTATATATATATATATATACATATATATATATATATATATATATATATATATATATATATATATATATATATATATATATATATATATATATATATATATATATATATATATCTTGCAACTGTCAGTCTTATCCTCCGCAAAAGTCATTCACTTCTTAGTTCTATCGAGCGAGATGCCCAAAAATCTCCATATATTAAATATATAGAGACGACGTTTGTTGTTAGTAATAATATTTATGAACGAAAAGAAATATAAACATGATTGAAGTATATAGCACATAATAAAGCAAGTTGCTTAACATATTATAATACTCTAATCGTCATTTTTCTCTGAGTTGTTGTCCAATAATACGCCCATGATATGGGCTTGTGCGCGGCGGGGCTTATATTCGGGGGGGGGGGATTATTATCATTTATAGACCCAAAGCCCCTCGGAAAATATCATCACTTCGGGAAATATCGCCAAATCCCCCGAGCGGAGGGTCTATAAATGATATATTAAACCGAAAGTTAAAGAATTCACTAAGAGTCTATCAGGTTCAGAATAAACTTTAAAATTGTATTCGCGTAGTTATTAATAATATTCAGCAGAATATTATTAATAACTACGCGAATACAATTTTTAATTTCTTATCTATACCTGAGTTTTTGACGTTTTCTCCTTAAAATATTTGAGCAAGTATCCTTTGGATCGTTGAAAGTACATACGTGTTGAAATATTTGGTTTACTTAATATTAAAATCTTCTGTAGTTCTGTACGAAATTAATACAAACATGCAACAGCTCGCGAACGCCATATATATTGTTTCAGAATTCAGAGCGTGGTGTCCACGCGTCGCGCGTGATCGTGGGATACTATAATATCCCACGGTAGATCTGCCGTGGGATATTATAGTATCCCACGCTGGATTGCGAAATTATGAATTTGAGTGAAATACCGTAAAAAATCACACTATCACGTGGTACAAATGCTGTTTTTTCATTGGACAATTTGAATTTGAGGTATAATATTATTCGGAATGGCCTGAGGGTTAGTGAATATGGCCGGCTTATATACACCTGGGTGGGGCTTTATTCGGATGGACTTATATTCGGAGGTCTACGGTATTTGAAATGTTATGTAGATGATCATCAGGATACATTTTCATGCCACGATATGTCGGGAACATTACCTTCATTATGGCGCAGTTTCTTCATATGTCGGAGACCATATCTTTTATATAACCTAACAAGGAAATAAAGTGTTATGACTCCCATAACAAACTTGTGAATATTGTATTTACTGGAGAATTGCTGCGACCACAGCCAGGGCCGTACGCAAGATTTTTTCACCCGCGGGCACGAATTCCTAATGCTGAAATAAGTACCGAAATGTGAATGCATTCAAAGCCATATCAGTTAGATGTATAAGCACCATTTGGTTTAATAATACTAATTTACAATAACATGATAATATTAGTAATTTATATTTTCTCTGTAGGACAGTTGCTTCTTCTCCCCTCTCCCTCTCCACTGCTTACGGCCTTTTCCATTTGCAACACAGCGGTTTCCCTAAAACTAACTGAAAAGTTTGTAAATTGCAATCCTTCTAAACAGTGTGTCAGAGCAGCGCCCACCAACAAATGAAACACCACTCCCTCCTCTCCCTTATATAACGAAAGTGTAATACAGCTGCCATTAACAATATTCTATGGTGTATATACATTGACAAAGGCCGCTTTCTAATTAAACATTGTTCCTACCTGCATATTACTGACGGAAAAATTTAAATCCATTCATATATATTAAATGTGAACAAAAGGACATCATCCAGCTTTCTATATGATTTAATGTCTTGGTTTTGAGATAATTAGACAGTATTATAATATGAAATGGAAAAACAAATGGAAATCAGTTTTAATTAAGTTAGAACAAATATGATCATTCTTACCAAGTGAAGATGCTAGGTATATACTGTGAAGCATATACTACCCACAATCCAGGTTCAGGTGATATCCAACATTCATCTAATTTATTCACCATCGCAATTGCCATATATTTAGCAAACTGATCTGTTTCCATACGCTTTGACATATCTTCTTTACCATATGGCGTATCCTTCGCACTCTATTATATAAAGAAAAATAGTCTTGAACGTCTGTCTGTACCAGTGTAGGAAGTGGCAATAATAAGAAAGCTTCACACTCTATTATATAAAGAAAAATAATCTTAAACATCTGTCTGTACCAGTGTAGGTAGTGGTAATAATAAGAAAACTTCGCACTCTATTATATAAAGAAAAATAATCTTGAACGTCTGTCTGTACCAGTGTAGGTAGTGACAATAATAAAAAAGATTAGCACTCTATTATACTAGTACTAGAAAATACATGCATTCAGAAACCCTCGCCTTGCTGACAAAACCATTGTATTTTACGAACATGAAAGAAAAATAATCTTGAACGTCTGTCTGTACCAGTGTAGGTAGTGACAATAATAAAAAAGATTAGCACTCTATTATACTAGTACTAGAAAATACATGCATTCAGAAACCCTCGCCTTGCTGACAAAACCATTGTATTTTACGAACATGAAGTATCTAAGTTGTCGTGGTAACACGATATTTTTTTAAGAATGTTCTTACAAATGAAAAATCCCCTATAAACATCACTTTTAATCAAAAAATTATTAATTTCCCAACATCTATATATATATATATATATATATATATATATATATATATATATATATATATATATATATATATATATATATATATATATATATATATATATATATATATATATATGTATATATATGTATATATATGTATATATATGGTTTTTTTTCTGTGTTGGTCTTGTGTACTCAGGTGAATAATATGTTTGCGATGTTACTCTGAGTGCATATCCACACCGGCCGAGCTTGAAAAATATGCCCGGCCACGGTGGGATCCCACCGTGGCCGGGCATATTTTTCAAGCTCGCCCGGTGTGGATATGCACTCAGAGTAACATCGCAAACATATATATATATATATATATATATGTTATTATACGTAATATAAGCCTCGATTTAAGGTAAAATTCAACCACAAACGCTTCGCAAAGCGTTTTAAAGTCATTAGTGTTCTTTAATATAAAACTAAAGTGCCTTTTAAAATGGCTTTATCGATAAACTTTGTGTTTGCAATAAAATTATTTAAAATTCTCGCTTGCACATAACTTTGCTTTCTTATTTATTTAAAAAAATTCAATATCATAAAAAGGGAATCAATATTAAAGATACATTGAAATTATATGCTGTCTTGTTTAGTTGTTTCATATACGCAAAGGCAGTCGGGTTTTAAATCCATTATAAAATCAAAAATTAAAACAAATTTACCTTCGTTAACGTCGGCTCCCTTCTTTTAGCCGATTCTTTCGCAGCTCCTTTCTCAGAGAGCTTTTGAAATTTACAAAATCTTGCAAAAATGCGAGCAAAATGAAATATATTTGCAAGAAATTTATCAATCATCAAATCAACTCAAGAAATGTTTGCTATTTCGCTGTCGTCATGCGGTCGTTATAATGCAAACTTTAAATTGGACCAATCAGTGTTCGCTATTCGTGACAGTCCGCCGTATTTTTGAGATCAGTGAGGATGACCACCAACCCAACACCGTTGGTGACCCACGCCCGCGATATTTGATGAACTTTAGACTCCGCTAATGCTTTCGTTTCCCCGGGTGTAAATAGCCGGGGGGAAATTAGTACCCTCGCACGGCGCTTCGCGCCGTCGGCTCGGGGATAAAGAAAAATAATCTTGAACATCTGTCTGTACCAGTGTAGGTAGTACCAATAATAAGAGAACTTCACACTCTATTATATAAAGAAAAATAATCTTGAACGTCTGTCTGTACCAGTGTAGGTAGTACCAATAATAAGAAAGCTTCACACTCTATTATATAAAGAAAAATAATCTTGAACGTCTGTCTGTACCAGTGTAGGTAGTACCAATAATAAGAAAGCTTCGCACTCTATTATATAAAGAAAAATAATCTTGAACGTCTGCCTGTACCAGTGTAGGAAGTACCAATAATAAGAAAGCGTCGGATTGGTAGTGATGTCATTACCTGAAAATACAAGGAGAAATTCCTTGAGAGCGAAGTCCTTCGTCAGGAAGTTAGTAAGCCTATCAGCTTCCCGATGGAGAACCCTCGCTAGGAACGACGAAGTTCTACTTGTATTTTTCAGGTAGTTGCATCCCCATCAATTCGAACATTTCATAGAAAAGTAGAATGTCAAACCACCTGGTCCAAATTCTCCTTGACAAGCTTTACTCCAGTGATGAATAATTACCAAGGAATTGCTCAATGCCCTCCATTTAACTTACTCTCCCATGTCAATTCACATTTCCCTTGCTAAAGCAGAGACGCTGAGCAACGAACCTAATAACTTCTCCTATTTCCTATTATATACAGATATTTATCAAAATGAATTTTATAGGGCGACGCACTCAAATAAACACTGTTGAAAAACTTCGAAACGTTGCAACAGCTAAAGAACAAAAAGTTTGCAAAGCTTCAAAATTGCATCATTATAATTTCGCCGTTATTCGAGCGGCACTTAAACATGAAAACTTGACTTCCAACGTTACAGATAGACCTTGGAATGAAAATTTTTACTAAATAGTTCTACATGCCTTGCCGAATTTCTCAGAAACTGAATTCTCCACGATAGCTGATTTGACTGGTCCAGGACAAACAATTGAGACGTCGATACCATTGTCATAAACTTCAGTTCGTAATGAATAAAAATATCCCTGAGGAGAAATAAAAAGTTGAAGGATCAAAAGTTACAAAAGCGTTAATAAAAAGATATGGCAACAAAACATTTGTTTGTTTCATTTGAAAGAACGTTTTAAAAATTATGGGGAAAACTTTTTACAGTTTCTTCAAAAGTTAATTGTTTAGTTCTCGAAATATTTTGACTGGACTCGTCATTAATGATTGAAGGTGTCCGCCATCTTGAATTTTTGTGGATATTTTTTTTATTTCAATTTTAATTTTAATTTTAAAAGTTTCGCCAATAAAATATTTATGTAATAATAACTGAATAAATAACTGAACAAACAAAATAGAAATAACTGAACAAACTTATGAACAAATGAACAAATGAACAAATTA